GTGAATAGAGATTTGAAGAATGACATATACACTCAATCACAAACTTTGAGGTGTAAATGGGACATTAGAGTCTAGTATGTTGCTGTCAGATAGGTGGAGTGAAATTTTTTGTGACTTTTTGGAAACCAGGTTTTGTCACCTGAGTATTAACAACCTGTGTGCTCTGGGACTGTCAGATGTAGTCAGGCTCTGTGTTGAGTGTTATGAGCATAGTGCTCTAGTTCAGTTAATATGCATATTTGTATTAATTAACTCTACAGGGGATTTAGGATTAACCATATCAGTGTTAAAAACTGCAGAGATCCTTGATGAGAGTATTTTAGTTATTTATTTTGAAAAAAAAAATAGTTTCTTTACAACTAATAACTAAGTGACCTCTATAATTGAAATATCCCTAGAAATAATATGAAATATAATGGTCGTAACAGTACCAGCATGAACAAACTGAATCAATTGGGATTGATATAAAGAATCTAAATAGATTTTTTTATTAAGCGTGATGATTTCTCCTCAGAATATATGAAATTCTGAAGATAAAGCAATAAAGTTATAGACATCTTACAGGACTTTAAGCAACACAATACAATGAAAATTTTCAGCATCAGAATCTATACACAGAAGTCCCACAGGCACAATACTTTGGGAGTTACTGACCTTTGAAAAATCTGATACAGCAAATGTTTTCCATGCAGTAGTGTACCCAGGAGACACAGAGTAAACATGTTGAAATATGAACAATGATTTCAAGTTCACTACTACAAAAGAAAGGAAAAACTTTACACTAAATGTTCCCTTGACAGAAGAAGTTTGAGTTCTATTCATTCAGTATAACTGAGTTCAGTTCTGCTGGTTTCTAGAGGTCTTCAGAATTCCGTTTGAATTCCAACCACATGACTATCTTCACTAAGTGTGATTGTGGCCTGTTTTATCTCCAACACTTTTTTAAGTCAAGCAGAAGGCCAGGAAGATGTCTATGTCTTCCTTTCACATAAAGCCAGAGGATTTCCCTATGTCATTATTTCTCTGCAAGTAAATTTGTTGTTTGAAGCTAGATGTCTCACAATTATTATTATTAGTTTTCTTTCCTGATGTCTGGCAATGTTAGCTAAACTTCAGCCAGGTGATGCTGGCAGAATTGAAAACACATTTTGGAGAACTTTCTTCCTTTGCTTACTATTTATGATTCGCACTTTCAAGTTGCTTGAGGCTTAGCATGTTGTCTGAAGATCCTGGGCTTGTTTGCCTGCTTAGTTAGCTATAGCAGACAGAAAAAAAAAACCAAAAAAAAAATTCCTTTTTTAACTAGTCAGAAACAATGTTAAATATTCATTTATCTATAACCTCAGTGCTCAGTTGCATACTTTTTTCTCCTAGGCCCATCAGCCTACAATCTCCTGTGCTGCCAGAACAGTCAGCTTGACCCTCTTACTGCAACTATGTCCTACCCAAGCCCGATCATGAATTTGATGCATCAGATTATTTACTTTAAGATAAAGAGATCGTAAGAAAGTTGATGTATATGCTAAGTTGTTCAGAGTGAAGGAAAACCCTATTTTGAGGGAAAAAAAACCAAACCCCAACTTCTGCTCATTTTTTTTTAAGATCAAATAAATCTTACTTTTAGTGGAAGTATTGGGCATTGAATAAATGCCCCTGCCTCTGATCAGTGTTTTTAACCCTGCATTTTATGCTTTATATTTTATTTATTTTTTTGAGAGGCAAACACCAAAAGAGTTTAAAAAAGTGGGCTCATTTTGTTCTGTATGATACTTGATTTTTCAATATTTTTGTTTACGGTATTTGTCTGCTATTTGTACTTTTGAATGTTAAGGTTTACTAAATACCTAGGTATTTCAAGAAGCTGTGGTAGAATCACAGAATTTGATGTGAACAAAAGAAATGGTTTCGTCTTTATCAGGAAGTTGTAGTGTTTTAAAACAACATTACTGAGAGGGAATTGTATGAGCATACTTAATATTGATAAAGTAACTTCTACACTTTATTGTCATGAAGTCTTACCCTCAACAGAATAATTGCACCATTTCTGTATTTAACTGGACACTCTGCAAAACATCCTTCTACAAAAAACAGTTCTCTTTTAATGCAGAAATTTTAGATGCTTGATATACTTGAAACATTTCCCTGAAGTTATTAAACCTGATAATTGCTTTAAATCACTTTATCAAATCAGGAAATAGATTATTTCTACATTAACAGTGCTTTCTGGGCCAGTGTAGGGACAGTAATATGGCACAGCATCCCTTATGTGCCTGAAGATAAACAGCAAGCGTCCAAGGTAAAAGCATAACAAGCCTACACACAAAAGAAAGAGCCAAAATTTTGCTTGTCCATGCTTAAAGGTAAGAGAGAGAATGATACTAAAAGCGTATCAAGTTAAGCTCACTGTTTTTAGAACTTCTGGTTGGTAGAAATCACTCAACAGGTTAATTGAAATTTGGCGTAAACCCCTGCTAATAAGAAGATATTAACTAATATAAAGACAGATAATGTTGATTTTCTGCTAGTTCTAAGCTTAATTAGACTTACTTTCATCCATGGTATGCAGTACTTTCTTAATTCTAATGCTAGAATTAGACTTATCAAAGAAAATCAAAGCACTGGATTTCTTATGCTTAAAACACTGTACATGAAAGTGCTAGTGTTAGAGGGGTTTCTTTAATCCTTCTCTGATCACCTAAAGACATGGAATCTATTTTCTCACATTGTTTTCTAAATCGATATAAATTAAAATATGGTATATAAATTAAAATATGGTATATAAATTAAACATTTATTTCTGCTGCAGCTGGTGCTCTGTTTTTCTGCTATGGAAGGAAACATTTTTACATATGTAGCTGAACAGTTGTGCTGTTATTTTTTCATGAGTATGTGCCTGTATGCATACCCACAGATATAGAACTGGAAAAAAAGAAAGAAAAAAAAGAATAAACAGGCTTATGGGTACACTTTCATGTAAGAAGGTATTGAACAGACTGGGACTTTCCAGCTTTGAAAAGAAATTACATAAAGGGGAATACAAGAGGGATCTATAGCACAATGGATTCAGTAGAGCAATTGTATTGAGTTTGCATGATGAGGTTTTCTTAGTGGGCCAGTTGCAGAGGTGGATTCTGTGAGAATCTGCCAGAAGCTTTCCTTATTTCCAACAGAGCCAATGCCAGACAGCTCCAAGAGGGACCCACCACTGGCCAAGACCAAGCCCATCAGTGGTGGTATAGTGCCTCTCGGATAGCAGATTTAGGAAAGGGGGAAAAAAATCTGCACAGCTGCAGCTGGAGAGAAGAGCAAGAATGTGAGAGAAACAGATCTGGAGATACTAAAATCAGTGAAGAAATGCTGGGGGGAGGTGTTCCAGGTTCCAGAGCTGAGATTCTCCTGCAGCCTGTGGTGAAGACCATGTGTGATGGTGCATTCCCCTACCCCTCAGGCTATAATTTGACTGTTGTGGTGAGGCAGACTGTCCCCCTGCAGCCCTTGGAGGTCCACAGTAGAACAATGGACTAGCAGTCCATGGAGTACAACATGCTGGAGCCTGAAGAATACTGGGACCCCATGGGAAGCCCATGCTGGAGCAGGCTCCTGGCAAGACCTCTGGACCCATGGAGAGAAAAGCCCATGCTGGTAGGACTTTTTGACCCTGTGGGGGACCCACACTGAAGCAGCCTGTTCCTGAAGGAGTGTACACCCCATGGGAGGGACTCACACTGGAGCAGTTCATGATGAAGCCTGAGAGAAGAACACATTGGAGAAGTTGTTGGAAGACTGTCACCCATGAGAGGGACCCCACGCTGGAGCAGGGGATGAGTGTGAGGAGGAAGGAGTAGCAGAGAGAATGTGTGATGTGTAATCCACATCCCACATACCCCTGTACTGATGAGTTGGAGGAAGTAGAGAATTCAGGAGTGAAGATTAGCCCGGGAAGGAGAAAGGGGTGAGGTGTTTTAAGGTTTTGGTTTTATTTCTTTCTATCCTAATGGGGTTTGATTGGTAATATGTTAAACTAATTTCCCCAAGCTGAGTCTGTTTTGTCCATGATGGTAACTGGTGAGTGATCTCTCGCTGTCCTTATCTCAACACTTTCATTGTATTTTTTCCTCTTTTTCCAGCTGCAGAGGGATGTGATAGATTGGCTTTGATAGACATGTGACATCCAGGTAGGGTCAACCCATCATACAGGTTAATAGGGATAGAGTAACCAATGTTTGGAAAAAAAGACAAAAAGTTGAACGCAATGAAATTGTAGTAGACCACTAGGGCAAATTAGACATACAGTACACACACTTTGCAGAATGAGCTATAACAGGACACTGCAGCATAGGTTCAAGAAGGAATTGCACAGCTTCATGAAATACAAAATATATGGATGCAATCGCTTGCTTCAGAAGTCATATTTCAGGTTTCAAAAATCTGAGAACATATATCTAGGAAACAACCTCTTGTCCTGTCTCCTTAAACATTGACTGCTACCATGGTTAGAAATAACCTACTGACACAGCTAGACCTTTGTTATAATTAAAAAAAACCAAACCAAAATAAAAAAACAAACAAAAAAAGAAAAAAGAGAAAAAGCTGTGAACAGTTTAGGGAGGACAGACAGACTTCATTTAGCCTAATAAATTAAACAGCCCTTGGGACCACTTTCATATGTTTTGTGCCAATCAGCACAAAGCAGCATAATAATAATGGCCAGTCTTCGCGAGCGAAGATCCGGGGAAGGTCTTTACACCTTCCAGCCTGCGCATTGGATTTTTTAGGTGAGACACAGTGTGAGCGGAACTGAGCCCACCCTTTAATCCTAAGGTTCATCTGCCGGGGCCAAGCGAGCTTGGACGGTGGCAGTGAGGTCCTTAGGACGTAGGTGGGTTGCCTTTAAGGGCTAACGAGCCCCACCTGCCTGGGAGTGGCCCTGACCGGGAATCGAACCTGGGTCTCAGCGGTGATAGCGCCGCGCCTTTACCACTAGACTACCAGGGGCTCCAAAAAATATGGAACGCTTCACGAATTTGCGTGTCATCCTTGCGCAGGGGCCATGCTAATCTTCTCTGTATCGTTCCAATTTTAGTATATGTGCTTGGCTGGAAGGTGTAAAGACCTTCCCCGGATCTTCGCTCGTGAAGACTGGCCAAAGTAGCATAGGTTTTGTTATATTAACCTCCTACCCTTAAAAGAGAGTGGCCAAATTCACATTGTTTATTCAGAAATATTCCTGGTTACTGCTAAATCCCAAACTGTCCAGGAATTGTGTTGCAGAGTACCAGCTGGCCCAGGCCAAATGCATGGTTTATACTGTTCAAACAATTTAATGGCAGGAATACCTGCATGCCATTATCCAGGAATTGTTTAATATCCTACTTTAGATGTAAACTTCTTATACTGCACATACACCACTAAAAAGACAGCAGTGATAAATACAGCAGGAAGATGAATCCTATTCTTCATAACTGTACAGCAGATGATTTATATTCTATGGTATAATCTTACTAAAGAAAAGAGAACTACTGATAGAAATACAAAATAATTGCTGAATATTTTATATCTTTTCTAAATATTCCTTTCCCATGCTTTCTTATGTTTTCAAGTTTTAGTAAGACCTGTGAAGTAACAGAAAGAAAAGCAAGATCTTTAATAGTACTGCTTTGAATTTGCTTGCATTTTCTCATGAAGCTACCAACGACTGTGAATCAGAACTTGTGTTACACAAAAGTGTTAAAATTATATCGGTAAAGAACAATAAATTTTATTCTATGGTAAGCAAAATATTTGGACTATTATATAAATAGGACAAATACTGTGCTCCAAAACTGAATCTTGGGACAGTAACATTATCTCAGATAAACTGTGGACAAGGCACATCATAGCATGAGCATCACCCTCAGGGCACCTCATATTTATCATGCCTACTGAAATATGGAATAATAAAATAAAACCTAACCCAATTACATGATAATGAAATAAAGTTTCAGTTTAAAAAAATGCTTTGGCCTTCTCCTTGTATCCTTATCAATCTGCTAATCTAAGAATGGCTAGTTCTACACAGATCAAATAACTCTAATTGCACAATTACAGTATTAAGACTATTCCATTTACCCAGTAAATTGATTGGCTAAACATACCTAAGTACTTTATTATAATATAGAATTTCATAAGAAACTAAAAACAATGTTGATGTTCAGGACTGATGAGAAGAAAATGCTGGGCCAGGGTTTTAACTAATGTAGATTGGTAAGGATCCACTAACTTAAATGGGCTTTACTGATTTACACTGACTGAAGCACACAGGTGTACTTACCAGTATATTTTGCATATATATTATGCTTTATATATGTACCTTCTTTGATATAATCACACTTCAGCTGATCATGACATTTGTTTTACTGTGTCTAAGATGGGCTCAATTCTAGAGGCATACTGCTTGCAGAGAAGGCCGTCACTTTGCACAATCCTATTAAAATCACTACTTAATTGCTCCAGTAGCAAACTCTTAAAGATTTAGTTGCTTTGTAATGAAGGTAACTAGAAACAATTAGAATGCAAACCTCAAATTTGTGTAACATTAAATGTTCAAACTAAAACATCAGTGTAGGATAAACTTAATCTTTGAAGTACGGGAATGATACTTTAATAGTATTCATCTTTCAAGAATCAATAAATGTTACAGAACAATACTAAGCAACGTGTTTTGCAGTCAGACCATTAAGACACTTATTCTGTGTTTTTCAGAGGAGAAGCAGAACCATATTAGTTCATGTTTCTTCTGTGTCTCAGACTGGAAATTAAACCTCTGTCCATTAGGGGTGATATTTTTTTACTACAAGCGCTCAGAGTATCAAGACTAATGTTGCTTAAGTAGGGAAAATATAATTTATTTTGTTCACTGTAGCATAGTGAAGCAAAATTCAGGAAGACTCTAATGTGAAGTCTCTTTTGTGACATCATTGCAATATTGGTTGATATTGTGCCAATTATTGCTCCAAGATTTTGATATTTATAAATAATCATATAATAGGAAATTCAGTTACCTAAAACCAGTTGGGTAGTTTTTAGATGTCTTAAAATACTGTGGCTGGGCTCTAGCTGTCCCTCTTGAAAGGCATCTATCTTCTGAAGGATTATCTCAAAAGACAATAAATGTTTATGGTTAACTGAATTACATCTTAGATGTTTACATTCAGCTGAGCTGAATTACTCTGCTGATGTTATCAGATAGGTTTTCTTTAAGTACAGACAACCAGCATGATGTTCAGTTGTGTCCCAGTTTAAATGAGACAAGGGTCTTTTGCTGAGGGTGGATTAGGAGGAAAAGACCCAAACTTCTCTTTCTAAACAATTATAAATCCAAAATTAAGAGGCTCCAATTGAAGGAAAACATATTATGGAAAAGGGAAAATAACAACCCTTTATTAAAAGGTATGTGTGTATTAACAGGAACACAAAAAAACCAAGTAAAACAACCAGGCAATACTCCTATACCCACCAATAATCCCCTTCAAGAACAAAACCAATAAACCAGTAAAAGGAAAATTAAATAGTTCAATTTCTTGCACCCTTTGGTGCAGTTCCAGCCACAGTCAGCAGGGGGTGCCGTCGGGTCACTGGAGATGCAAAATTTGTAATGTCCTGTACCATTCACCAGGTGGCGCTGTTGGGTCACTGAAGGTGCAGAACTTGTAGTGTCCTATTGTAGTCACCAGGTGGCGCTGTTGGATCACTGGAGGAGCAGAACTTGTAATGTCCAGTGCCCATCACCAGGCAGTGCTGTGAGATCCTTGGCTGCCACCAGGTGGGTTGGAGGAAGGGGAAAAAACAACCCCCCCAGAGTATATCGGAGAAAAAACAACAAAAAAACCTCGATTCCCCTTTCCACACTGGGAAAAGGGGGAGGAGGAGTAAGGGGGAAGGAAAAAACCAGCAATAAAACAGAAAGTTCTCCCAATGGAAGAAAACTCACGAACTTCAGCTGGTTAGGATTAGCTTTAAGCAGGGCCTGCAGCCAGCAACAGCTGAGAAGAGAGCAGCAGCCAACTCCCCTCCGGCAGGAAGAAAGAAGAAACCAGGCAGCTCTGCAGCTTGCAACAGGTCCTGTGCCCACCGGCACACAAGCCTCTCCTCCCCACCTCCTTCCAGCCACACCTCCCAACCTGAGTTCCAGCCCCACCGTAGCCCCCCAGCTCCTCCCTCTCCTTGCCCAGGAGACGAGAGAAAAAGAACAAAAGGTGGAGTTCCTTATCTGCTCCGTTCCTAGGAGACTAATCTTTTGGCCATTAGCCAACCAGCTAGCCTTTTGTGCTCTTAAGGGCTTATCTTGATGGCTCCTGGGGAAGGGAGAAAATTTTCTGCCCGGTTTACAAGAGCTAGCTAAAACCACGACAAGTTGTTAAACCTATCTTGTACTGTATTAACAATCTTGTGCATCATCATATATAATTTTTGAGCAATTAAACAAGGCTGAAAGTTATACCACAATAACTACAGGAGATCCATACTTTCTGGAACAAGAACCAGAAGCCAGGTGGGTTACATTAGGATGTTTCAAACATCACTGGATGCCTCTGTTTAAGCAACTAAATCCTACATGCACATCTGTAGATATGAAAACCTAAGTGTTTCACTCTCTGACTGAAAACCCTTCCGTCCTCTGTTGAATACTGATCTTCATAACTAAAGTGCAACAGGATCAAAAAAGGGTAAAACAGTTTATGGCTGATAAAGTAACAGCTGTAACTATCTCTGTATTTGTTAACAGACTTTTATACAAGCAAAGGAAATTACTTTCAGAAAACAATTATTAACCAAACCCTGAAGTCTATGATGTCTCATTTAAGCAAAGGATGAACAAAATTTCTTCATTGAGTTAAGACTGCTTTTTCTAATTTCTACCTTCGTGGTTAAATCATGAACTGTTGTAGCTTGAGTTTACAGAATGATTGTACAGAACAATTCAGAGAAAGTTATCAACTGAGAAATTATTTACATAGTCAAGATCATAATTTTAGTACTTATATAAGGTAGGAGCCCCTGGTGGTCTAGTGGTAAAGGCGCGGCGCTATCACCGTCGAGACCCGGGTTCGATTCCCGGTCAGGGCCACTCCCGGGCAGGTGGGGCTCGTTAGCCCTTAAAGGCAACCCACCTACGTCCTAAGGACCTCGCTGCCACCGTCCAAGCTCGCTTGGCCCCGGCAGATGAACCTTAGGATTAAAGGGTGGGCTCAGTTCCGCGCACACTGTGTCTCACCTAAAAAATCCAATGCGCAGGCTGGAAGGTGTAAAGACCTTCCCCGGATCTTCGCTCGCGAAGACTGGTCATTATTATTATTATATAAGGTAACTGTACCAACAGTTTAATATACACTTAACATATAATATGAGCCTTATCCTGTTTGTCTATGCTTTTTAAGTTTTTAAGGTAGATCTTGGTTTAGGCACCTGAAGAGTGATCAAGTGCACCTTTACGAAAACATTGTTGATGAGATTCAGTTACTTACAAGGAACATACACTCTTAATATGCAAAATACATTACTACCGATATAGTCTTTGATAAAGGAGTTTAGACAAAAGATTTCAAGAAAAAGATCATGATTTTGAGGACATCAGTTTTACTGATTCCTAGAGCTGTCTTTTGAGATGTTACCGTCTTCCAGCCTTATCACAGATATATAGGGAAACCATTTTCTGTTAACCTGTGCCAGTTTATAGCATAACACCTTGAGTTTGCTGATCACTGTGACATGGAGTTGCAAAGAGTTTATTTATTCTCTTCTGTAGTCTACTTTGGATATGGATCTCTTTGCATCTCATAAACTACCAGTGATATAGGTATATGGTGGTAGATGTTATGCAGTCCAAGTCCCATCTAGGTTTTCATAAGAGATTAAATTAGAGGTTCAGCTGCACAACAACAGCAGCAGAGAACTCAGGGGCCTGATTCTGATTCCTTGTCAACACAACAAGTTTTCAACAGCTTCATAGAGAGCAATGCACTAATAAGATTTGAAGGATAAGGCTAATGATTAGAAAGACAAGTCCAATGAATAATTAGACATGGGAATAAACACTAATATTCAAAGTTATATTTCTACTTATTAACACACTAA